TTGTGGCTGCTGCTGCTGTTGCTGCTGCTGAATCAAGACCTTTAGCTGCTGCTGCAGCTGCTGCCGCAGCATTGTGGCCCTGAGGATCTCTTCTTCCGAGTCGGTACGCAGACGCTGTGTCTGTTGCTGCTGCTGCAGTTGTTGCTGTTGTTGCTGCTGCAGTTGTCGCTGCTGCTGTTGCTGCTGCTGTTGCTGCTGATGCCTTAGCTGCTGATGCAACTGCTGCTGGTGTTGCTGCTGCTGCTGTTGCTGCTGATGGAGTTGCTGCTCCTGCTGCAGCTTCTGCTGCTGCAGCAGCAACAATTGCTGTTGCTGAAGCAACAATTGCTGCTGCTGCTGCAGCAACTGCTGCTGCTGCTGCTGCGACTCGAGAATGCTGTGCGGCTCGCTGCTGCACAGCCGAGCTGCTGCTTCTTCAAACCCAATTGTCTCTTCTTGAAAACAGACAGAAAAAAAAGGAGACAAATTTCCTGGAGAAAGAACTCCCCCTTCTAGTGGCGAGAAGAATGCTTCTTCCTTCAACTCACCTGCTGCTGCTGCTGCTGCTGCTGCTGGGGCTTTTGCTGCAGGTGCTGTTGCGGCTGCTGCTGCAAGTTGTGATTGTGCTGCTGCTGCTGTTGCTCCTGCTGCGTCTGCCGGTCGCAGCAAAGAAGCTGCGGTTCCTTGTGCTTCTTTTGAGCCGCTTATCCTTGCAGCAGCAGCAGCAGCAGCAGCACTTGGATTTGCTGCAAGGACGTCTAACTGACCAGCAGGCCCTGCAGATGCTGCTGAAAAGCTGCTGCTGCTTTCATTTTCGAAATCGCTGTTCTTTGGGTCTCCGCTGAAGCTGCTGCAGCTGTAGCAGCTGCAGCTGCTGCAGCTGCTACAGCTGCTGCAGCTGCTGCAGCTGCTGGCGTCCCTGTCATTGCTGCTGCTGCTGCTGCTGCTGCTGCTGCTGCTGCTGCTGCTGCTGGAATGCAAAGACATGGACGGGGGGGCCCCCAGCTGCTGCTGCGTAAAGGCCCTAGGGTTTACCACGAGGGGCCCCTGGGAATCTATGGAATCTATGGAGCCCCTGAGAGGAGTAGCAGCAGCAGAAGCAGCAGCAGAAGCAGCAGCGGAAGCAGCAGCAGCAGGAGAAGCAGCTGCTGCCCCATCTACTACCGAGGTTTCCTCTGGAGGCCTTGAAGCAGCAAGCAGCGGGTCTTCTGGGGATTTCGTCTCTTCCTCTGCTGCTGCAGCAGCAGCAGCTGCTGCAGCAGCTGCTGCTGCTGGAGACATGGCCTCTACTTCTGAGATTCGCCTCTGCCGTCAAACAGGAAGCAAAGCGGAGCAGGAACGCGATAATAAGATGGTGCAGCAGCAGCAGCAGCAGCAGCAACAGCTGCAGCAGCAGTCGAGAAAGGTGTTTCTTTTGAAGAGTGCAGCAGCTCTTTTGTGTCTCCTCGTTTCCTTACCTTTGCTGCTCTCATCTCCTGCAGCAGTGCAGCAGCAACAGCAATCTGGAGTTCCTGCGGCGGCAAGTAGTCTGAGGCCTCCTTGAGGGCCTCCTCCCCCTGCTGCTGCTGCTGCTGCTGCTGCTGCTGCTGCTGCTGCAATTCGCATGCAGCCCCGAGCACTGCTGTGAAGTCGCCCAGGTACTGTGGGGCCTCGCAGAGGGCCTCTAGAAGGTCCAGCAGCAGCTGCTTCGGAGTCAGGGGGCCCCCCCGTGGGGCCCCTTCTTCAGACAGCAGCAGCTCGGTTTGCTTCCTGCTGCAGCAGCTGCAGCCCCAGCTGCTGCTGCTGCTGCTGCTGCGGGCGTTGCATGCTGCTGCGGCTGCTGCAGCATTGTTGAAGTCGCTGAAAGTCTCCGTGAGCCTGAATAGGGTCTCTGAGAAGCAGCTGCAGACAGCAGCAGCAGCAGCAGCAGCAACAGTCTGAATACACTCAACTAGTGCCTCTGCAATCTCTTTAATCTCTTTAATTCCCCTTTATCTTTCTTTAATTTATTTTTATTTTTAATTCTTTTAAATTTAATTTTATTTATCTTTTTTTGACATCCAGCCTAAGCTCTAGATCTGCCTCTGAATTCTTTTTGATTTAATTCAATTTAATTAAACATCCTCTATTAATTCATTTATTTCTCCTTCAATTAAATTAATTAAATCAAATTAAATAAATTAAATTAATTAAATTAATTAAATTAAATTAAATTGAAAACCCACAGCAGCTGTTGCAAACTCCAGCAGGCCAATCGCCGCCGGGGCTCTCCCGCAGCCAAACGAATCACCTGAAACAAATAAATAAATAAATAAATAAATAAATAAATAAATAAATAAATAAATAAATAAATAAATAAATGAATAAATATAAATAAATAAATAAATAAATAAATAAATATAAACAAAAAGATGTAAAAGTCTAGAATTAAAATGATGTAAATGCAGCAAGTGCATGCGCCAGGGCCATTCAGGAAAGTGGGAAAAGGAAATAAACGAAACAAAATAAAATTAAATTAATTTTGAAATTAAAATAATTATTTTAATTTCAAAATTAATTTAATTTTATTTGTGAAAGGCTGGGAGACACAGCAGCAAATGCGGGGAAAGACAGAAAAAATGCAGCAGCAGCACCAGCAGCAGCAGCTGGAGCAGCAGCAGTAGCAGCAGCTGCAGCAGCAGCAGCAGCAGCAGCAGCAGCAGCAGCAGTATGCCTGTACTGCTGCTGCTGCCGCTGCTGTAGCATACATACTATCGTGTCTTCTGTCCCGAGTTGCTGCTGCGCTGCTGCAGCTGCTGCAGATGCTGCAGCACCAGCTGAGGCACTTCTGGACACAATGACGGGGACAAATGATATCTGCTGCTGCTGCTGCTGATGCGGCGGCAGCAGCTGCTTGTGCTCCAGCAGCTGCTGCTGCCAGTTTATAGTTGCTGCTAAGAAGTGCAGCAAATCTGCTGTTTGAGAACAAAGAAAACACAAAACCTGCAGCTGCAGCAGCAGCTGCTGCTGCTGCGATGCTGCAGGCTCTGCAGCAAAAGGTTACAGCCACAAAAAGGTAAACAAGCAAATGATAAATAAATAAATAAATAAATAAACAAATAAATAGATAAATAAATAAATAAATAAATAAATGAACAAATAAACAAATAAATAAATAATTAAATTTCAATTAAATGTTTTGCCTCTTTTATTGGCATTGAGAAGCAAATGAAAATAAAAATGCGAAAAATGAATTTTTAATAAAAAGCAAAAAGAGATTTTAAAATGGCTAAAAGTAAAAACGGAAATAAAAAAGAAAATAAAAAAGAAAATAAAAAAGATAACAAAATAAGAGGAAACAAAAAGGAAAATGAAAAGACAATAAAAAAGATAGGAAAATCAAAAAGAAAATAAAAAAGAAAATAAAAGGAGGATGAAAAGATAGAGAAAGGAAAAATGAGAAGATATAACGAAAAATAAATTAAAAATGTAAAATAAAGTAAAATAAAAAATAAAACAAAAGGTGAAATGAAAAGAGAAAATAAAGAGGAGGAAAAAGCAGTTAAAGAAACAAAAGAGGAAAATAAAGAAACAAAAGGAGACGAAAAAGAAACAAAAAGGAAATAAACAAGAAATAAAAGGAGAATTTAAAAAGAAAAAAAGGAAATAAAAAAGAAATAAAGAAGAAATAAAAGAGTTTTAGAAATTAAAAAAAGGGAATTAAAAACAGAAATAAAAAAGAACTAAAAAGGGAGAAAAAAGGCACTCACGATAGAGACAAAAGTAGGAAAAGGGCCTTTCAAAAGCATGCAGCTGCTGCTGCTGCTGCTGCTCCAGCTGCTGCTGCTGGTGCTGCTGCTGCTGCTGCGCTGCAGCAAAACTGAGGCGGCAAAAAGAGCGCAGCAGCGGCTGGGGTAGAGACACTTGCTTTGCGAGGGCTTTCTGAAAAATAAAAAAATGAAACTAAAATTAAGATTAAAATTAAAATAGAAAAACTAATAAAATAAAAATGAAATAAAATACCATTTAAATGATTAAAAAGCACCATATAAATAATTAAAATATTCTTTTTAATTGTAAAAAAGAAATCTCAAAAAGGCGCTTTTAAGAAAAAACACTTTTGAAGATAAAGAAGAAATAATATTAAAATAAATACTTTTAAAATTTAAAAAGCAATTTAAAGAAAGTTAAAAAACAGTTTGCTGAAATAAAAAAGGTAATTTAGTTATGTTAAAAAAAATTTAATGAAAAAGAAACAATTTGATAAAATAAAAAAGATAATTTAAAGAAACGAAAAGAGATAATTTTGGAAAATAAAAAAATAAAGTTTGAGAATAAAAAGACGATTTGAGAAAATAAAAAATAATTAAAATAATTATAAAAGCAATTTAAAGAAATAAAAGGAAACAATTTGATAAACAAAAAGGAGTAATTTGAAGAAATCAAAAAGAATAATTAAAAAACAAGAACAAAAAATTAGAGAAAAAGAAACAGTTTTAAAAAGACAAAAAATTTGGAAGCAAAAAACAAAAGAAAACTTTTTAGAGATAAAAGGAGACATTTTTAGGAAAAGGAAATAAAAAGAAATACAAGAAATTAAAAAATAAAAGGATAGAAACAGATAAACAAATAAAAAGAAATGAAAGAAAAAAGAAATAGGAAAAATAAAAAAGGAATAAAAAGAAATAAAAAGATAAAAGAAGTAAAAAGAAATAAAAATAAAAAAATAAAAAGATGAAAAAATAAAAAAGAAATTAAGATATTAAAAGAAATGAAAAACAGTAAACAGTGAAAGATGAACAAAATGAATAAATAAAATAAAGTAAAAAATAAATAAAATTAATAAAATAAACAAAATAAACAAAATAAACAAAATAGAAAACAAACAAAACAAATAAAACAAACAAAACAAATAAAATGAATAAAATAAAATAAATAAAAATAAAAGAAATAATAAAATAACGGACTATGAAAGAAGTATAAATCTGGGCCTTTCGCTGGGCCCTGGTGATGCCTTTTGCTGCTGCAGCAGCAGCAGCAGCTTCTTCTTTTTTCTTTTCAAAGAGCCGCAGCAGCAGCAAACGGGGCTTCAGCAGCAGCAGCAGCAAATCTCCGTGCACCAAATCTGCACTTTCCCACAGCCGCAGGCCCCTCAGCACCCACGCCTGCTGCTGCTGCTGCTGCTGCTGCTGCTGCTGCTGCTGCTGCTGCTGCACTTCTGCTGCGCTGCACATGCTGACGGAGACGCGCCTTCGCTGGGGCTCCAGGGGGCCCCCCTCTTGCTCCTGCGTCCCCTGGGGAGCAGCAGCAGCAGCAACAACGACCCCACAGCTCAGGTGCCCTGCTGCTGCTGCTGCTGCTGCTGTTTCGGCGGCGCCCTGTACGCCCGCCTCTGCTGCTGCACTTGCTGCTGCAGCAGTTGCTGCTGCTGCTTCTCCAAAGAGACACGTGGAAGTCACTGAGGGCCTCGGGTGTCTCTTTGTCCCGTAGCAGTGTGCATGCAAAGAGACAGCAACAGCAGCAGCAGCAAAAGAGCTGCAGCAAGCCTGGCAAAACTCCCAAGAAGACCCCACAAAGAAGTGCCCCTGGTGAGACACAGCAGCAGCAGCAGCAGCAGCAGCAGCAGCAGCCTTTCCTCCGGGGGCCATCACAAAGCTGCTTCCA